TTCTTGTGTCAGAGGTGAGACAAATTCCTGCTATATTTCAACGATTAAGTGAATTTCTAACCGTAGAGGCATATGATATATATTGCTTTGGTCTTACCTGTTGACTGCTATTTTGATAGAGAGAGCTGAATAAGTCATATGAAGCTCGCATAAAACAGCTCCAGAAAGATTTGTCAGCATCCAAAAGTGATGTGACAAGAATAGAGTCAAATATGGTTGAGGCCTTGGCTGCAAAAAATTCAGAAATTGAGGCACTTGTCAGCTCCATGGATGCACTGAAGAAACAGGCTGCTTTATCTGAAGGGAATCTGGCTTCGCTGCAGGTTTCATTACACCCACCACATTTAATTATGGATGTATAATATTCCTTTCCTCATACCCTCTCTCTCTCTCTCTCTACCACTGTCAGTGGTACACAGTGGGAAGAGGCTTTAGTAATACTAAGGGCTCGTTTGCTTGAATTACCACGTTCAACTTTTTCAGTATTCTATTCTTCTACTTATTTGGCCTACCCTTTATAGAAACTGGTGCAACTTTGGATGCTCTTGACTTATATTTTCGACTGGGTGAGGCTTTGATAATAGTTAGACTTTATTTTGAATTACTTAATTAATTTTATATATCAGGCAAACATGGAGTCTATCATGAGAAATAGGGAACTATCCGAGACAAGGATGATGCAGGTGAGATTGTATGATGCTTCCTTGTTTGTATTTGGACCCTTAGCATATACTTGCATATACTGCTTTTATTATTAGATTCTGAAATTAGTGAGAAAATATTCTTCAGGCTTTACGAGAGGAGTTGTCTACTGTAGAACGGAGAGCAGAAGAAGAGCGTGCCGCACATAATGCTACCAAAATGGTTTGTATCTACAACAAACTATTAATAATAATTTTCTGTCTCCCTGGTTGTTTTAGTGCACTGTGATGATCACTTTATTGTAAAACAGGCTGCAATGGAAAGGGAAGTAGAATTGGAACACAGAGCCCTTGAGGCATCCACGGCCCTTGCGAGGATCCAGGTAAAGTAAGCCCTTTTCAAGTTTGTGACTCATTGTATTAATGAGAATACTTTTACCCCATTGTTTTTTAATAAGATTAATTTTTTTTTATTCTCCATGTCTCTGTATACATTTATGTTTACTACCCTTCTTAGCTTGCTTTTACATGAACACTATAGCAATGCAATTGCATGTAAGGTTTTTATATCTAATGAATTTGTTACCTTTTGATTCTTTACAAATTTTTGTTCTTCATTGAGATTTTTATCATGGGAATTATACTTTGTGTAAGCATCTATGAAGTTAAGAGTTCGGCCTACAATTCATTGTTCTGTCTGGGAAGATCTTGCATTTTCTTGTGTTTCTGTTTTTTTTTTTTCTTTTTTTTTTTTCCCAAGAGCAATATAAATCTGTGAGTTTGACCATAATTTACTGATTGTTGTAAATGCTTCCCTATTCAGAGAATTGCAGATGAGAGGACAGCAAAGGCATCAGAGCTTGAGCAGAAGATGGCATTGCTTGAGGTAGAACAAACATTCTAAATTATTTTGTACTGACATTTCTGTTCATTGGTGGAGCTTCTTGGATGATAATACTATATGCCATCAGGTTGAATGTGCCAATTTAAACCAAGAGCTGCAAGATATGGAAGCTCGTGCTCGGCGTGGGCAAAAGAAGTCACCAGAAGAGGCAAATCAAGTGATTCAGGTATTCCTTCTGTTGATTTTAGATCTGAACCCCTTCTCATATTTTTTATTCCATAGTTCAGTTGGAGAATTTATTTTTCTTGATCCATGAAATTTACTACATTTTAGTTATACTTTGAACTTCAAGTGAGATTTTTCCCCCTTGGTAATAATAAGTACCTGTCTCATTGTCACATATGTCATGTGTTAGAAGTACGAATCCAAATTTTACTTTGGCCCGTGTATGAACTCTTTCTCATGCCAGGATTTTTATAGGCGTGATATTCTTTTTTGTATCCTTAGTCTGATATTTAGCACATTGCCAAGCTTCTAACTCCAGTAATTTTAATTGTTTTGTTTGCCTACAATCTAAATAGCATAGAAGGACAACTTGTAATTGTTTATGTGCAGTATTCATTCTGATATATTATAGAGTGCTTTGGTATAGGCACAATCAGTTGAGGATAATTAAATACCACTTTATTATTGTACTCACTTACAGTAATGGATACTAAGATGCAGGCATGGCAGGAAGAAGTGGAACGTGCACGCCAAGGTCAGAGGGATGCAGAGGGGAAACTCTCTTCTTTGGAGGTAAGTGTCCTTTGTTTTTTGCCTAACAGTTTTGTTATGATCAATTCGTATCTTTGTGTTTTGAATTTATTTGCCTCGTTCGACAACTTGTTTTTATAACACTTACTGATATGCTTGATTTCAGGCCGAAATGCAAAAAATGAGAGTTGAAATGGCTGCCATGAAGAGGGATGCAGAGCATTACTCGCGTCAGGTGATATCTGCTCTCTCTCTCTCTCTCTCTCTCTCTCTCTCTCTCTCTCTCTCTCTCTCTCAAAAATATATAATGAGTTCTACTAGGTATGAATTATCCTTAAGCACTATGTTATTTACTGGTTATATTTGCCATTTTGTAGGAACACATGGAGCTAGAGAAGCGCTACCGTGAACTAACTGATCTATTGGTAATCTCACTAAAAAAAATACTTAGTTACATGGTCAGTTACATATCGGTACTTTATGAAGAGATGTCTTATTCCATCTATTATTCAGTACTACAAGCAAACACAATTAGAAACAATGGCTAGTGAAAAAGCTGCAGCTGAGTTTCACTTGGAGAAGGAATTGAAGCGTCTCCAGGAAGCACAGGTCTGTCCCTGGGTGTTTTATGCTGCTTGGTTGATAGGCTTTATATAGATTCTAGAGTCCAGTTTTGTTTTTATTTTTAAAAATCGCATTTTTTTCCCTTCTGCATTTAAATTCACTTTATATTGAACAGGTAGAGGCAGAAAGGAGTAGAGTTCCCCGTCGAGCATCAGCATCCTGGGAAGAAGATGCTGAAATGAAGGCACTTGAGTATGTTGACTCTCTAAGTAATGCGTTTTCTTTCTTTATACTTTGCCATCATCTCTCCCCTACATATTTACTTCAATGCACTTGCATACATGTTAGTTTATAAATGTATGTTATGGCTTCATAGTTATTTTAGTTTTTGGAAGCTTAATAAAGAATAAAATCTGCAGGCCTCTTCCCTTGCATCACCGCCATATGGCTGGGGCAAGCATACAGGTACATCTTTTCTTATCTATCATTATTCTTGATCTCCTTTTCATACTCTGATGTTTCACCTTGTCTCATGCAGTTGCAGAAGGCAGCAAAACTATTAGATTCAGGAGCTGTCAGGGCCACAAGATTTCTCTGGCGTTATCCAACAGCTCGACTTATCTTGCTATTCTACCTGGTAAAACAGTTAAACATGTGTTTAAAGAGTCTTAACTATGCAGACATACTATGTGGAGTGAATCAAATCACAAAATAACCAGAATAATTCATGTGCAGGTATTTGTACATCTCTTCTTGATGTATTTGCTGCATCGCCTTCAGGTATGCATACTACTTCATCGCAATTTGTATAAGAAGCTATGATACCAATTACATATCATATTAGTAACGAACGTGTTTATAACGTCTTACTTCGATGAAGTATACATAACTAGCTCTTCTAAATCTGTACTTTATATGCAGGCACAAGCGGACAATTTTTCCGCAAGAGAAGTTGCAGAGTCTATGGGACTTGCTAACACTAACTTACCATGATTGGGTGGAAGCAACTCGTGCCACACCCACAAAAATCTTCCCAAGTTCAACAAGCATAGAATGCGCCAAGAGTGATGCGTCTAATATCTAATTATAAGAAGTAAACGGAAGCAAGTGAACCTTGATTGTCGGGTGAAGATATATATAGGATGGTTTTATCTCCATTCTTTGTCGAGGATGCGCATGCAAAATGTTGATATCCTAATAATGTTTGTGAGGCAGGCACTGCTTGCTTGCGTTGTACATCCAAACCAAACGTGCTTTCTGCATTGCAGATGTGAAATTTTCTTGCAAATATATACGTTATATATATATATATAGCAACTGCTGATTCTTTCATTATATTCTTAGTTTGTATTTGTTCAGGAATTACTTGGTGACTTGAACTCGTGAATGTGAAATACACGTGTATGTATACTCATCATTATTATATTATCAGAGGTTCAAAAGCAGAGGTCGATTGTAATTGGCAAAAAGTCATTTTTTGGTCCTGTGCTGCTTCTGTGGTTATCAATTCCAAGCAATTCAAAGACATTGCCTAATTTCTGTCAAATTCTTCTAACTGCCATTACTTATTGAGGGGAATTATTAAAAAATTCATTTCTTTTGAAAATAAACAATATTAATATAATTTTAAAAAAGTACAATTTCAAAATTAAAATAAAACCTCTCCCCTTCTCCTCCCAACCCCAACCAGCCACCACCTCCGTGTATCCCCCCCTAAAAAGTTTACACTTTCCTAGTCAGAAAAGCCATAATTCCGTTTGATCGACCGGCCTCTTTAAAGAGAAAGAAAACACAAGGTAATCTTGAGCTGCACAGCTGCAAGGAAGTGGTGGGTTTCTTTTCTTTTTTGGTTCTGGATGGCGGGTTTCTTCTTTCCCGTACATATGATGTAACTTCTGGTCTGAAACAATCAATGGATTAGTATAAAAGCTCATAGGAAAGTAAAAGTTGAAAGGAAGATATACTTGGTGATGAAGTATTTGCAAACTTCTCAAGTCATGAACGGTACTAAGATTGGTGCAGGAAAAAAAAAAAAAAAAAAAAAGTACCAAATTTTGATTTTAGTGGCTATAGTTTGGCCAAAGTTCCATTTTATTCTCTACAACTTTAATAGTCACTATTTGAACCTGATTCTAAGGAACTTTCTTGTATAAATCTCACCTACTGCTTAATAGAAAATTATTCTGGCAAGCATTATCTTTTGCCTCAGTTTTACACATAAACTTGAAACTTGAGAGTTACCATTTAGTCAGACCAGAAAGCTAAGTGCAAATGAATAATCAGAGCAATTTGAAACGCAGTTACATAGAGATGGCGGAAGCCGCCGATCATATCTCTTCAACTATCAACCACTTTCACAGCAGCAGTAGCAATGACATGGTCGAGCCACAGACGGCCATGGCCGACGATGCTTGTATACAACCACAACCACAACCGCAGCAGCAGCAGCAGCAACCGCACATTGCTCTGCCTCCGTTGGTGGAGGATTTGCTGACCCAACTTTGTAACAAGAGAAAGCAACCCCAGCCAGGCTACGACGTCAGGCGGAGGCTGGGTTTGCTGGGCGAGGAGAAGGCCCTCCAACTCCTCCATGAAATCGACGAGGCAAAAGTAATCAAAACCCTCAGTGGCTTCATCATGTGGATGATCCTTAATAAACCACAATATCAATGTCCCTCTCCTTCAAAGTATGCCCCTGTTTTTCTTCTGCAAACCCAATTGTCTGCTTCTCCATTTACGCCTTCTGTTCACATAGGTAAGATTTTTACTTTAACTTCTTTCATTTTCGTGGGTTTTTTGTTGTTTCATTTCATGATGTTTTAAACCCATGTCTGTCTGTCTGTCTGTATGTGCGTTACAGACCATGGAGGGCTGAGGCCACCTTATTCCTATTCCTCTGCCTCTGCCTCATCTTCAAAAGCTCTACGTGTTTCTCCGTATCAAGGCCCATCATATGCTCCTCCTTCTACTATTACTCCTGTTCGACTTTTTAAGGACCCTCTGCCTCTACCTCAACCTTTTCCTCAAGGTTTTATTTTTTTTCACTTTCTCAATTTCATGCTTTTCATTCATTGTGATTAATTATCCATCGATGGCCCAAACAAGAAAAGATATTATGTCTCCGTTCGAGTCTGCGTGTGTGTTGGTGAGACTCTCACTAATTCCTCAGTTCTAGTAATGAACGTGTTTACTTTGATGAAGCATACACAGCTAGATCTTCTAAATGTGTACTTCATATGCAGGCACAAGCACACAATTTCATGATACCAACTCCATATAATATTAGTAAGGCTAAACTGCTGTTAAGGATACAAATTTGTTTAAAATGGCCAATTTGGGGCATGACGTCAAATTTTTGAATGATTTCATTTATTTCGACTTCAGTTTTCCCACATGATACACACGTGAGCCCTCTTTGAAGGGCAAAATCACCACTTCTCCCTTCCCTCCTTATATTCCCTCTTGATTTGACCTAATTTATTAAATTAAAATTTGGTAACCCAGATGGTGGTGCTGAGATGTGGCACGAGGCTGTGCTGGGGAAATACTGTAAATGTGGAAAACAGGCGATCTTAAGGACGTCTTGGACAGATTTCAATCCTGGAAGGAGGTTCTATGTTTGTGGCACACAAGGGGTGAGTTTTATAATGCTAATTTGATGGGTTTTATTTTTGTTATTTGTAGTTTTTCTTTTTTCAGAATTCATCAATGATGCAGACAAGTCGTCGGTGTGATTTGTGGGAGTGGGCGGACCCAGAGATGTGTGATCGTTCCAAGCAGATCATTCCTATGCTATTACGGCATATCAAAACCACGGAGGAGGAACTTCAATTGCAGAGAGCTAAAATAAAGAAGATTAGGTTTTGGTTGGGCAGCTGTTTACTTGTGATGATTATTTTAGTGCTTTCTATGTTATCGAAATCAAATTACAAGGATGAGAAACACCTGAAATTGAAATTAATGTGATGAAGGGGTTTGAGGTCATGTGTTAGTGGAATATCTAAATATAAGAAGTAAACGGAAGTAAGTGAAGCTTGATTGCCGGGTGAAGATTACAGTTTGGTTTTGTCTCCATTCTTTGTCAAGGATGCGCATGCAAAATGTTAATATCCTAATAATGTTTGTGAGGCACTGCTTGCTTTATACATCCAAACCAAACTTGCTTTCTGCTTTGCATATGTGAAAATTTCTTACAAATATATACATTAGGCCATCCCCAATGGGGGCTTTATATGAGGCTTAACCACCACAAGGCTTCCATAAATACAAACTCTCTTTAAAAAGACATCCCCAATGGTGCAAATTTGGGGCTCTAAAACTTGAAGCCTAATCGGAGTAGTAGCTAAATGTATGTGCTTGGTTGAAGCTCTTAAAACCAAGTGGGTCCCGCAAAATAAAAAAGCTGCAGCCCACCTCTTTTGGTTTCTCACTTGCCTTGCGATTGTACAAGGCCATACTTGCCAATTATTTGTTTTATCAACAGCATGCTAAACCAATTTTTCAAAAGCTGTGTAAACAACTATATAGTTAAGCCACTTTTTCAAAGCCAACGAATATAAACAATTACATTATGTCGTGCATCTTGTATGTGCATTTTGTTTTAATTTAACCATGTTGTATCATATCTATGAAATAAAATGTTGATTTCCAAATCTTCCAAATTTTGATTTTTGTTGTTGTTGAAATGTTCACAAAAAAACAAAAACTAACATAACATGAACAAACATTTAAGTAAAATAGTTAATAAATAAAAAAAACCACGTAAATCAAATTACATCCTAAATAAATATGGAGCCCACCATGAATATAGAGCCTCCCATTGTGGGAGTGATTTCTTTAGAGCCCCAAAGATTCCATCGGAGCTCTAAATGAGGCTCTATAAACTCTTTTTAGAGCCCCAACCATTGGAGATGGCCTTAGGCCATCCTCAATGGGGGCCTTAAATGAGGCTCAACCTCTTTGGGGTTATATAATATAAAGCCTCACCATAGAGCTGCTAGAGCCCAAGCAGATCCCACATTTTGAAAAGCTACAGCATACACCAAAAAAATTTACACTTTCCTAGTCAGAAAAGCCATGATTCCATTTGATCGACCTGCCTCTTTAAAGAGAGATAACACAAAAGAATCTTGAGCTGCACAGCTGCATGGAAGTGGCGGGTTTCTTTTCTTTTGTTTTTGGTTCTGGATGGCGGGTTTCTTTCTTCCCTGTACATATGATGTAACTTTTGGTATGAAACAATCAATGGATTAGTATAAAAGCTAAAGCTAAAAGCTCATAGGAAAGTAGAAGTTGAAAGGAAGATATACTTACTTGTTGATGAAGTATTTGCAAACTTATCGAGTCATGAACGGTACTAAGATTGGTGCCAAAAAAAGAAAGAAAAAAAAAGGTACCAAATTTTGATTTTGGTGGCTATAGACTATTTGAACCCGATAATTTATAAATTGTTGTAATCTAAAGATAATAACCTAATTTTTGTTATTGTTTTAATAAAATTAGCATGCGAGTGGCACATATTATGTGTTTTACTCCTCTAAAAAGTTCAAATAATTGAAGAAACTATAAAGACAAACAATGGAGCTTCTTCTAACATACAAAAACCAAAATTTTAATCTAGTACAGAAAGAAAAAGAAAATTTTGCCAAAATTATAAAGAAAAACTAGTGTGAAATCCACTGTGAGTCAGAGTCGTGAGAGGCATTTCCCTCATTATAAAAAGCAGAGATCGATTATAATTTGTATCCATCTGCCAAAATCTGTTCTCTCAATTCCCAATAGTAAACACATGTGACAATTTTTTTTTTTTTACCAAGATCATCACTTGGGCCTTGGGGGAAGGAAGACATGCGGTGAATAAGAAACAATGCGGTAAAGATAAGGGTGCCCTTTTTAAATTACTCTATACCCATAATTTTTTTTCACTATTTTGTAATTGTAAATCTTTCCTAGTCAGAAAAGCAATGACTCCATTAAAGTGAGAGAATCTTTCTCTTTGAAGGGTGATTGGACAAGTGAAAATAACACAGGATAGGAGAATCTTGAGCTGTGCATATGATATGATGTAACTTTTGGTTCGTGACTCAATAATGTCATATATTTCTCAACAATCAATGGATTAGTGGACACAAAAGTAAACGCTAAAAGTTAAGAGCATTCGCAGTGGAGGGTGTATATGAGAGTGTATGTTAAATATATACTTCGAGTCACTGGAATCGTCTCTAATGGAGAGATATAAATGGATGTAAATATACATCACCACCATGAGGATATAAAATAAAATGTATATTTACATTTATTTTTACATCCCTTACAGGCGAGACTCACCCGAGAAAAGAGAAGAAAAATGAAGAAAAGTCAACATAAAAAGCTGGGACCCACAACTATGCCCCTGAATTTACACTCCCGACTGGAGTAAAAAATATATTTACACCTCCCGAAAGTGTAAAGGAGATGTAAAAGTGACTTTACACCCCCCACTGTGGATGCTCTAATAGGAAAGAAAAAGTTGATCGAAAAATGGACATAGACTTGGTGATGGTGGGTGACGAAGTGTTTGCAAACTTCTCAAGGAAGTCAGGAATGGCTTGCTTCGCACAACTGAACAGCAACTTTGCCTTGGTGGTGCCAAAAAAAAAAAAAAGCGCCAAATTTTGATTTTGGTTTCTTTAGTTTGGCCAAAGTTCCACTTTATTCTCTACTACAGCTTTAATTGTCACCGTTTGAACCTAATAATTTATAAATTGTTGTAATTTGAAGATGATAATTTAATTTTTCGTCATATTGTTTTAAAAGAATTAACACACAAGTTACATGAATTATGTGTTTTATGTCTCTAAAAGGTTCCACTTGTCTTCAAATAATTGAAGAATTGTTCTTCAATTGCGACAAATAATTGAAATAACAAAGTCCAAAAATGGAGCTTCGTCTAACATGTACAAACCAAAATTCTTTTATAGCAAAAAAAGAAAACTTTGCCGAAATTATAAGGAAAAACAAGAGACTGCGTGAAGTCCACTGTGACTGTGAGTCAGAGTCGATGAGATGAGAGGCATTTCCTTGATTATAAAAAGGTAGAGGATCCTTGAGTGAGAGAGAGTAACTAGAGTTGAGTGACATGTCAATCCAAGCACAGCAAATAGTGTAAGTAGCTCCATCAAAAATCTGGTCCGAAGTAGGAACCTTCTGTCAGGGAAAATCTCGTATATCCCCATAAAAGCTTGAAACTTTTTGGTATTTGGTTTATAGAAGCTTGAAACTTGAGACTTACCATTTAGTAGAAAGTTTTCAGACCCAAAAAAAAAAACAAAAGAAGCCATTTAGTCGAAAGTTTATGATTGTGGGCTGGCTCATGGTAGTGTAAAAAAATGCATCATCACAGCAATTTGAACGTGAAACGCAGTCACCCACAGATGGAGGATGCCGCCAATCATTTATCTTCATCTATCAACCGCTTTCACAGCAGCACGATCGAGCCCCAGACGGCCATGGCCAACGTTTGTCTACAGCCACAACCACAACAGCAACCGCACATTGCTCTGCCTCCGTCGGTGGAGGATTTGCTTAACCAAATTTGTAACGACAGAAAGCAACCCCAGCCAGACCAAAACGTCAGACTGAGGCTGAGTTTTCTGAGCGAGGAGAAGGCCCTCCAACTCCTCCGTGAAATCTCCGAAGCGGAAACTATCAAAACCCTCGGTGGCTTTATCATTTGGATGATCCGTAATAAACCACAATATCAATGTGCCTCTCCTTCTCCCTCTCCTTCAAAGTCCGCCCCTGCTTCTCTTCTACAAACCCAATTGTCTGCTTCTCCCATTACGCCTCCTGTTCATAAAGGTCAGATTTTTTTACTTCACTTTATTTCATTTTCATGGGCTCTTCTGTTTTCATTTTGATTCGTCTCAGTAAGAAAATCTGATTCTCCCTTTATGCCTCCTGTTTTCATTTTCATGGTCAAATTATTAGGGACGTTTGGTATCCTATTCAGACAGGGGACTCAAAAATTTTGATTTTTCTTAAAAATAAGGAGAACTTAAATATATTTTTAAGATTCAAAAACTTGTTTGGTATACAACTTGAAAACTGTTTTCAAATATTAAAAATTTGAAAACTTGTGGGTTGTTAAAAAAAAATTGAAAAAACAGATATTTTTTATTTTTAATAATTGGGGTGGTTTTTAGTTATTCTTGAGTTTGAGTTTTTAAAAATAAGGCCACCAAGCAGGTTTTCTTTGTTTTAAACTTAAATTATGTTTTTGAGTTTAAAAACTTTTGAATATCAAACAAGCTTTATAATCCTTTACATATCTTGGTGTTTAATGGATACCTTTAAATCATAATTTTATTTTGTTTACACTATTATTCAATTTTCATAAAAATTATAAAATTTCTTTTCAGTTTTAGATTTTTCAACAAAACCAGGATCATGAGCAAGTGCATGAATATACTCCCGAGAGATAAGTGGGTATAGAAAGTCATGTTGCTGATATCTATCTAGTTCTAAATATCCTTGAAATTAAATTTATTCTCAGTAAGAATGGAAGTTACAGAGCAACCTGGAGACCATGGAGGGTTGAGGCCACCTTATTCCTATTCCTCTGCCTCACCTTCAAAAGTTCTCCGTGTTTATCCGTATCAAGGCCCATCATCTGCTCCTCCTTCAACTATTACTCCTGTTCGACTTTTTAAGGACCCTCTGCCTCTACCTCAACCTTTTCCTCAAGGTTTTTTTTTTTTTTCACTTTCTCAATGGAATGCTTTTCATTCGTTGTGATTAACTATATAGTGTGTGTTGGTACAGGTGAGACTTCCACTAATTCCTCAGTAGACCAACCTGGAGACAATGGGCAGGCACAATTAGAAGCTCTGGGCGAACTTGAGTTCAGGAGACAATTCCTAATATTGAATTACGCTGGAGGGTATGAGAAAGTTTGTTCCTTTTTTGCTTTCCTCTCTCCTTCTGTGGCTTATTTGGTTCTAATTCTGCATTTCCTCTTAGATTACATTGTTCGTTTACCTGCTTTTGGATGTCTATTTATTTATTGATTTTTTTCAGAAATAAGTTAGAAAAAGTTCTAGAGCCGGAGACTATTAGGAGTTGGAAAGATTTGCCGATGCAACTGTTTGAGACGAGAGTTTGGGAAGCTTTGGGTCGGAAC